ACACATTCTTATACACAGGTACAAACAAGTTACATATCACTCCTGACGTACTGAGGTGCAACCCCTCTACGTAGCAAGGTACAACCCCTCTATGCAGTAAGGGGCCGCCTCGCACCTTGTACCTGTTGGTTCAATCAAAACATTTCTATCCATTATTTTACCCTTTTGCCCCTGTCATTGGGATGGGTCGGTCTGTTCCCTGTTATCTGTGGAATGTTCCGGTATGGTATGTCTTGGTACCATGTTTCTACTATAACTATGCTAACTGAATATATATTTCTGCAACATCAGCCCTTTCCTTGCCAACTTCTGTGAGCAGGGCCTGCCTTTTGCTCACAGCTTAACTTTGCTTTCTATGCTAGCAAAGCCTTGACCATTACTTTAATTTGGTTCAGGCTTCATACTGGGCCTTCATTAGGCCTTTACTATGTTGCCTTCACTTACTACAATTCCTATAATACGATATTCAGACTGCTCCCTCCTTTGAACCTGTTAGATAGCTTTGGATATTGACCTGTTGCGATCCAGCCAGCTTAGATGTGATCATTGGATTGCTAATGATCTCAACAGTGATATAGAGATATTAGAAAAATGTTTTTGCCTCCATGCTTGTGGATGTAAAACTACCTAAATATCCAGGTTTACATTTTGGAACTGTCTCCCCCCCTCCCCCACTCTACAATAGTCCTGTTCTTAATTTTTCTTAAATAAAAGGTTAACTATGGGATTCTTTGTTCTGCACTTGAATGTCTTCAATTTAAAATTAGTAGGGTTGACTGAACATTTTCCATCAACCTTATTTTCAAGTGAAAAACAGGTTTTCAATTACACAAAAATGTTCAGTGCATGCTTTCTTCATATGTTGTATTTTCATCTGAAACTGTAACTTTTCAGCCAAAGACCCAAATGTTTTCAAATTTTAGCAGTTTTCAGTTGAAAAGATTTTGGGTGTTTCTGAAGAAAATTTGATTTTTGGCAGGGGGAAAATATTTTTCTAGCAAGCTCTGAAAAGTCAGTTTCCAACGTTTGTCTTGCTTGTTGTTGCTATTATTGTCACTGTTATTGCCTCCCTTAATTTTTTTGTTTTCACTTTATTAATATTGTACTTCAGCATCCTTACTTCTAGACACACTGGGTAGAGATCTTACAATGTAGATTCTTTACATATAACATTGTGTCAGGGCCCGGCTCCTGCAACCACTGAGTGTAGAGCTTGCTACCTGGGGCGGCTCCAGGCACCAGCACACCAAGCGTGTGCCTGGGGCGGCAAGCCGTGGGGGGGTGGGGCGGCCTGCCAGTCGTGGTGAGGGCGACAGTCAGACTGCTTTCAGTGGCATGCCTATGGGAGGTCAGCCGGTCCCACAATTTCGGCGGCAATTCGGCGGCAGGTACGCCGAAGGCACAGGACTGGCGGACCTCCCGCTGGCATGCCTCTGAATCCGCATTACCAGCGGACCTTCTGCAGGCGCACCACCAAAAGCTGCCTCACTGCCGTGCTTGGGGTGGCAAAATACATAGAGCCACCCCTGTTGCTACCACAAGTAATGATTTTAGTAGTAGTGTTTGCAGGAGGTGGTCCTTATTTTGGGATAGATTCTTCTAAGAAAATCTACTGTTAGTTAACAAGTCAGCTCTATATGCAGAACATGAATTAAGACTGTAGCCATGTAGGAAAGTGTATATTCAGAAGTTATTAGACCCCTTAAGTTGTCTTTGAAGGCTATGATTCATTTTTATTGAAGCTGATTAGACTGGACTGAAAATGTAATACCCAATTTAATGTATTTTTAAACATCTTAAGTAATGTATGTTTGCAGGTTGCAGCCATGTTGGTCCGAGGGTGTGAGAGAGATGAGGTAAGTGTGGTAATATCTCTTATTGGACTAGCTTATGTTTGTGGAAGGGTCCAGCTTTCGAGCTGAGGAAGAGCTTTTTAAAGCTTGAAAGTTTACCCTGTCCACCTACAGAAGTTGGTCCAATAAAAGATATTGCCTCACTTACCTTGTCCTGTAAGTCACATATAGCATTCATATTTTCAATTTCCTAATACTTTATAGGAGGTGAATTCAGTACATTTCAGACTTGATTATGGCGCAAATCTTGTGACTATTTTAGCTATTTAAAACACAGTAAAGTTGTTTTTTATAAAGTAGAGATATTTCTCATATCAGGTTTAAATGGCCTAGGTTAATATTTAGGAAGGATATTGCTTGTTAATTATAACTGAGGGAATGGACTTGAAGACAGATTTACTGTTTTCTGCAGTTTGTTCTTATGAACTAATCATAATGACAGATGAGAGAAGCAAGAAATTTTTTGCCTTAACTGATTTTATTCCACCTTGTCAATGACTGATAATAAATATATATTTTTTATTCTTTCTGTTAAGAGATAAAGGTCTGGGTTATTTTGTGGTCTAAATCTTAATAAAAGACCATTATCTCACTGCCTGTACCCATTGCTGTTAGCTCATCCTTCCCCTGCCATTCTCTTGAAAGAGCATTCTTCAGGGGAATTGAAACCTTTCTTTAAAACAAGCATGCAAATAAGAAAGGGACATACTTTTAGGAGGCCACTGTTAAAATCCTGTTTCTATATTATAATACACCTTTACCTCGATATAACGCTGTCCTCAGGAGCCAAAAAATCTTACCGCATTATAGGTGAAACCGTGTTATATCGAACTTGTTTTGATCCCCCGGAGCACTGCTTTACCACATTATATCAGAATTCATGTTCTATCAGGTCACGTTATATTGGGGTAGAGGTTTATGTATTCTTTTCTATGAGTTACTGGTAACAAGACTGGTAACTTATGGCTGTATTTTTCAAAAAAAGTCAATGAAAAAAATTACGGACCTAACTTAAACTGGCAAAAGCAGGAGTTTTAAATGCTAAAATTTCCACTCTGTCTATAACTTGTCGTCCTTTGCTTAGATATTATAGCACACACACAAAAGAGGTCATACACTATTGTGAGATCCCCAGAAGACCCATGTATGACAGATAAGATGAGGATGAGCAAGGCTAATCTGGAATTTCTTTGCCTTTGATTAAGACTTATAGGAAAGTATCTTCAGTGTAAACATATAATTCTCATTAATGTCAGCAGTTGTTACATACATGCTTGAAAAGAAGATCATTGTTAATAAATCAGAGGAAAGGAATTGAGGACTACAGTGGAAACTTATGAGAAGGCAGTTTTGTCTTCAAAATATTGCTGGGATGTTGTTTGGGTTACTTTATTATGAACAGCATTCAAGAAATCAAACTTATGGGTGTTTTTGTGAATGTGCAAGTTTGAAAACAGGCATGTTCTTGTATGGCATTTTAAAAATTTCTTTGAAGAAAATAGAGTGATAGTTAATACTCTAATCATAATGTAGAAGTTACTGAAAGTCCTACAGACCAACATTCTGCATTGCATCATGGGGAAATTCTGTTGTCTTTGACTTGTGGTAACAAATCACTTGTTTGGTTAATGATGACGCCAAAATTTCTCTGTGGAACTCTATAGCCTTGCATTATATGTCAGCTTACTCTTTATTCTTATTATACAGTAGGCCTTGGCATATTATTGAAAGGTAGTGCAGTGAAATTAACCAGTCTCACTAAGTGCTGTCTCAGGTACTTAGAAGCGCCTTAAAGATGATTGGGAATTCTTGAGTCTTCTATTTGTGTTCAGTGGGAGGCTTCAGAGTTCCTGAAAACACTTTTGGAAGTGTCTGCTGCTGTACTGCATTAATCTAGACTGCTAACTCAGCTAGAGCCTGAGAACTTGTGAAAAGTACTGAGCTCCCTGCTTGTTCGATGTTTCATGAGAATAGTTAAAATTGAGGATGTGTAATTAAACGTCTAGCAGCCTTCTTCACAAGAGCAGGAGATGTTAGCTCTGATTTCCTGGACAAATTGTTATGCTTCCCTAAACTTCTTCTTTAGTTTCAAATGGATATGGTATTTGTCATTTCCTGTCCTAAACTATTGATTATGGTTGCTGTGTGCTGTTGCAATGTATGAAATGATTTCTGTATTTAGGGATTTGAATTGTGACTATGCTCTGCACAGATGAGCACTATGAAAGCACATAAGGACGTCACTATCCCTTGTGCCTCCTAAGCAGATGCCAATCACTACTACAGTCCTTGCACATGCGTGAGCGCAGTGACCATGTAAATCTAGTCTATGGCAGTGTTAACCTCTCCAGACGGGGTGGGAAGAAGGACCCATGGTCCTGCTATTGCCACACTAGACAGCATAGCTGGCCGGCCAGGGAATCAGTGTACATTGCACCCCATTAAGGAGTGTAGCAGCAGCTGTGCTCTCCCTGTGTGTCAGGGAGCTCTGAATAATATTGTGCCTTCTTGAGGTACAGTGCCTGCTGGGACAATGTAGTTGTGCAGCTCCTCTAATGTAGGCATGTGCCCATAAGGAACTATACTGTCCATGCTTTGTATAGTTTGGGACTTGTTTTGGGATGAAAGGCATCCTAAAAATGTAAGCAGGTATTGTCCTCTCCTGCTATTTGAAGAAGCTACCTTTTGTGCTTTATTTGTTGGCTGTGGGCCCTGTACTAAAGAATTCACGGTAGAATTTATTTTGAAGTAACTTACTTTGTCAAATAATGCATTTTCGTAATGGTGGATTTCATCATTGGTTGTCCTGCCTGCATGGGCAAGCATAAAGCAATTTGTTTCTATGGATCTTTATTGATATTGTTTTGTTGCTGTTCAAATACGTGTACAGCATTTTTAATCTTAATGATTGTTAAATGAGAATCAGAGGAATAAGGTCTTTCTGTACTCCTGGTGGAAACAAAAATATGAGTTTGATCAGTCTTCAAATACTAAGAAAAGTTTGTAGAAAGCAGAAGAATCTTGCTTGGGTGAATGACTGGAAGGTCCATTGTGAATTAGGCCCTGACCCTGCAAACACTGACTTGCATGCTTAAGGTTACTGAGATGAGTAATCCCATTGACTTTAAGGAAACTACTCACCTGTTTAAAGTTAAACATGTGTAATAGTGTGTGTAGGTTTGGGATCTTATTGAACAAGTGAGTGCAAAGTTAATGGGACCACTGAAATTTGACTTATTTCTTCCCTTTATTTACAAAATCTGTATTTTTTTTATTTCGAAATCAAATGCTTCCGATTTGTAAGATAAAAATGCTGTCAACATTAGTGAGTAAATGTGTATTATTAATTTAACTTACTGTTGAGCTACAGTAATAAAATAATGTGCGTCTTGTGATGGAGGAGAGAAAATGAGTGAGGAAGTGGATTTTTCATTGTTCCAGAAGGAAATAAAATCCCACATACTAAAGAGGGGAAAAATATTCAGAAATCTTATGGTGTTCTTTTTAATAGCATTTACTAGCCAAAGAATAACTTCCTCTTTTTGTATGATCAGCATGTATTTTATTAATTTTGCATGATCTAATAAAATTCTAGTCATTCATGTGCTGTTATCAAAATATAAGTGAGAAATGTATTTCGTCTTCCCATTTGCAATGGTGCCGCAAAGCAGGATACAAATAAAATTCATGGTTAGTGAGTTAATAAGAACAACTAGGAAAAGAGTACTATAGAAAGCACAGTAAAAATTTCAGCAGTGGGTTTTATTGTATTTGATAGGCACCGTTCATTTTACTCTGGGTGGATTTCAATATGCTGACCAAGTTAATAATAAAAAGTACACATGAATTAATTATTGAACCAGCAGACTTAAATCCAAAAGTGACTCTTTCCTGTAGCTCTTGGTGAAGATGCTATAGTCTGTCAGAGCTGCTCTCTCATTGGCTGGTTGTCATTCAGGCTGGGTTGTCATGTGACTGCCTGTCTGTGCCTGCTGTACAGGTGAGAGGATGTTCTGCACAGCAAGTGTAGACAGGCAGACACATGACAACTCCGTCCAGCCAGTCCCTTGGATCCATCAGGGGTCCTTTCCTCACCGGCTGATAAGAATCAGTCTGTACCATTCCAGATTTGGGGACTTTGTTGGGGGGAAACACACATAACAGAATTAAACTTTAAAACATTAGGGAGCTGTGGAACAAGTACAATGTTTGACTTTATTCAGAAAATATGCATTTTACATTAGTTATAATTGTGCTGACATGCATATGGGGTAGGATTTCAACAGAATGGTCACATTTAACATTTTAAAAAGAACAATGATTTAAACCATGGTTTATTTTAAATCCAGTTCATACACGAGTTTTCCCAGATACTGTACTTGCACAGCATGTAGTGATTTAACCAGATGTTTTTACTCTTCTTGGAAACACAGAAATACTGAAGTTCAAGATAAAGGATATGTTTATACAGTACATATTTTCGAGTAATAGATAAGTACCGTAAACTTAAATACTTGAAAACAAAACCAAATAATGCTGTATAGATGGAAGCAGCCATATGTAGAATGTCCCAATAAAGAATATTCTGGAAGGAAAGAGTGTGTGTGTGTGTGTGTGTGTGTGTGTGTGTGTGTGTGTGTAGTAATAAACTAGTTGTG